CGTTCTTACAACATGCGCAAATATCAATTGGCTATCATTTGAAGGCCCAAGAGCACTTTCTTCTTCTAAACCACTATCATTGCCATGCGAAAATACATCGGAGACACAGAATAACAAAAAAACAAAACCAACTACTTGAAAAGACAACATGGCTAAAAATTAATGGACCTTTTCTCTGATCGAATGTTTTCGACCTACTAAAGCGAACGAATATAGTATTAAATAATATATATACTCACATTACGTATACTATCCTTAAAATTTATTAATCCACTTGATATTGCTCTATTCAAGAGGTGTAGATGATGTATTAGCTTTGTATGACAAAAAATTTCAATCGAAATCTTATCTTTTTACTCAACATTTTAATTTATTCGAAGAAACGAATAAGTGTAACTAAAGTGGACAAATTGTGTTGGTGTAACGTGATTTGCACGTGATTTGATTAAAATTGAGTTGAGTCTTCATGAAAAAACATTAGTTGCAAAATCACCCGATCATTTTTCAATAGTCCTTACGAACTCAGAATGGAAATTGAAAAAAGATTGAAAATTGAGAATTTTAAACTCGTCTAAGTGGTTTGAAACAATATTTTCAATAAATGATCCAAACATCCTTCAAAAGTTTTGATCTTTTTTCAAATTGTTTTCAATTTCAAAAAAAAAAAAAAAATGAAAATTCAAGCCCAACACATTTTATTCATTTTTTTCATTTTCGTTTGTCGATTTATTTTTACAGATATTATTTAGAATTTATTGAACATTTATCATTTTTATATCTAGTTGGGAAGGCGGCATTCAGTGTCATGATCACGATCTGGTATAATATCATTGTACAATTTGTATAATTGATTCAGCGAACACTTTTCTCCGCAATTCGGTATATTCAATGGTAGAAGAACTTCTTCATCCGATTTTCTGTAGAAAATTTGAATGTAATGCTCTTCTTTTCCATTTTTGTATAATTCCAAATGTACACTCGATGCAAATGGTGGTCTATGTGGCTGTGGATATAAAAATATTAATGAAAAAACTACATCTTTTTTCTATTGAAGTCAACTACCTCTAAAACTCCAAGACTATTCAAAAGACCAACAATCGTATTGTCATGCGCTGAGTAG